AGGAGCACACCTGCTCTTATGGCATTAACTTCTTCAGCAGGGAGAAGAACAAAGACGGGCAGAGAGGAGAGAGCAAATGCTGGGTTTCATTTCTCAACACGCAAGTGGGATATATAAAAAATAAAAAAAACCCCACCCAACCCACCCAAACAAACAAAAATTCCCGCTGGATCTTGCGGTCAGCAGAGCAAAATCATCTCCCAAAGAGAAGAGGTGTCCTCAGAGCAATTTACTGCAGGATTACGACAGGTTCTGGTTTAGGGTAAATTCGGGGTTTCAGAGAAAGAGAGGACCTGTGGGTTTCTTGGGTTTATAATTTTATTTTTCTCATGATCATTTAGTTTGGGGTTTTTTTTCCGGGTTATTGCATATTTGGGGAGTTGTCACTTTTTTTCCTCCCCCCGGTAAGGAAGACATCTTTACAGCAAAGCAATGCTTTTCTTCCCTATTACTTTAACTTTACCTTTGCTACACCGAGAGCTTATCCGCATCCAACCCTTATCTCCGCTCTCCCTCCGCTCGGCAGAGCCGTTCAAGATGGAAAATGATTCCGGAGAAAATTCCATCTCCCCCAAATTTGACGGAACAGTATTTTCTGTGAGATCTTTGCCTTTCATTTTCCTTGAACCCCCTCTCAGACGAGCCCGCACACACGCAGTGGTTCCTCATGCTGTGTGCTTGTGCCTGGCTCGCTCTCCCCTAATCAATAGCCTACATACCTAAAGGGCACAAAATAAAATTACAAAGTCTCCCCTCCTTTCCCTGAGCAGCTCCCAAAGAGGGATGAAGAGCAAACCCTTGCAGCCTGCCGGAGCGCATCGCGGGGCGAGCCTGGCTGGCACAGAATCGGAGGTAAATCTAAACCCGCCTTCTTTCCCTCTCTTTCTTTTATTTATTTTCATTTTTATTCTCTTTTCCCTCCTCATCTCACCTTATCTCGGGAGTCGAGGGCTGTGCAGCCGCTTTATGTGCGTGCGTGCACTCCGCTCGCTCCATCAGCAACGTGGGTTAGTTGTTGTAGTTAATGAGAAGACTCCTGTCTGATTTTCTATCTAATTACGCCCTCCTGCTGGGTTTTTGTACAGGATATTCGCTCAGCATGCTGGCAGTTAATAGTCACAGAGAGGATCGTAAAGATTTAATTAGGACTGCATGCGGAAACGTGGAAAAACAACTCAGACTTTTAATTACTAGACTTCTTTAGTTAAAAGTGATACCAGGGGTTACTTTATAAGAGACTTGGGTGTTTTGGTGCAACTTAACTTTCCGTGTCTCTGGCTAGCACGTAGTGAGGGAGGAGGAGGAGAAGAAGAAGAAGGAGGAGGAGGAGTAGGAGGAGGAGTAGGAGTGGTGGAGGTGTGTGTGCAGGGAGGGGAAAGGTGATGAGTTTCCAGATAATACTGAGAAAATCTAGAGAGGAAGATTCCCCTCCCTCCCCTCCTCCAATAATCTGGTAGCACGGAGTTTCCTGTCTACCATATATATCCACCTTATTCAACAGCTATGGATATATCCGAGAGAACCCCCCCCCACACACACACCTGATTTTTTTTTTTTCCTTGAAAGAGTCAAAAAAATCTGGATTTTTCCCTCGTGCATTTTCTTTATTGCATCTTTTACTAGTAAAGCCCGAAAAAAAAACAAAACAAAAAAACCCCACAACCAAACCAAACCCAACAACCCCCAAACTGGGATTGCAATGGTGTTTTTCAGAGTCCTTATTAGATGATGCAAATTTGTTTTCAATAAGTAGGTCTTGGCTTGCCTGTCTGAGGGCTGCAAATCGCCGATTGAAAATCCCTCTCGGAAGGGGCAGCGATAGCAATACAATGCGTCCTGTTTACAATAACAGAGAGCTCTCGTGTTACAGTCACTTAATTCTACCCCTGGACAATGGCTCACACATGGCCTGGCTTTGCTGTTTATAAAACATCCCCTGTTTCTTGCTGTCACGCACCCTTTTTTTTTCTTTTCCCCCCCCTCCCTCGTTCTCCCTTCTCAGCCCAACCCAGTCTCAGGGCACGTATTTGATCAGATGTGCACCAGCTAAAGCACAGACACATCTTTATCCAACTATATTCCTAGATATCGGTTCAACTTTTTGGACTCCTAAAAAAGGAAAAATAAAACCCCAACAAACCAAACTATTTGAGACCCTTCCTGGAAATCCTCTCTCTAGTGTTCTTGGATAGTAAGTATATGGTCAGCTAAATAGGAATCCCTGTAGCTAGAATGGATTCCTTGAATCTCGAATAAACCCGTATTAAAAATCAGGGTGGAAAACTGCCCAGCTTCATCTGTCACTAAGTGGGGGGACAAGAATAGAAAATGCTGAACGCTAGGAGCGAGTTCTGGGCTGCTTTCCCTCCTGCCTGTGCTAACTTGCAGTTGGACACTTCTTCCTTCACGTGTGTCTCCGTGGGATACCCTCCTCTCCCTCATCCCCTCCTCCCCCAGCCTGAGACCAAACTTTTAGAAATAAAGGGCCCGTTCCATTTCCCGCGCCCTCAGCACCCCAAAACAAGAACCCCAGCCCTG